CCCTTCATCCATGTTATTGTTGTTCATCCCCCTGGGGAGGGAGGGGGGAATGTGCATCATTGTAGTTGGTTCCCTGTTTCTCTCCCTTCTACCCCCACCTTTTCCCTACCCTCATGGTATCACTACTGTTCCAGGGGAGTTTCTCTGTCCTGGCTACCATGTGTCAAGAGCTCTTATCTGGACCAGTGTATGTGCTCTGCCCTAGCCGGATTTGTAAGGTAGAACTGGGGTCATGATAGTGGGGAGGAGGAAGCATTAAAGAACTAAAAGAATATTGTGTGTTCTGACAGTGCTGTGCTGCACCGTGGCTGTCTCGTTCTTTCCGTGTGACCATTCTGTAAGGGAATGTCCAATTATCTACAGATGGGTTTGGGGTCTCCACTCCACTGCCCATATCATTTGCATCAATATATTTGTTGGTTTTGGGGTCTTCTGATGTCTGATACCGTACCCTTCAATACCTTGTGATCACACAGGCTGGTGTGCTTCTTCCATGAGGGCTTTGTTGCTTCCCTGCTAGATGGCCGCTTGTTGAGCTTCAAACCTTTAAGACGCAGGCTCTATATCTTTTAATAGCTGGGCACCATCAAGTTACTTCAGCACATTTGCTTATGCACCCATTTTGACTTCAGTGATCATGTAGGGAAGGTGAGCATCACAGAATGACAGGTTATTAGAACAAAGTGTTCTTGCATTGAGGGAGTATTTGAGTAGAGAGACCCAATGTCTGCCTGCTACCTTAATGCTTAACATTTAAATATATGTACATAGACCTATATCCCAACTGTTATGTATTAATGTATTTCACATATGTGCATGCCTAAATTTATGCCTCTATAAATGTCTTTTGCTTCCTCATTCTTTCCTCTATTTCTTTTTACTTTCCTCCTGTCCCACTATCATGTTTGGCCTTCATTCAACTCTCAGTACTTTCTCTTGGCTACTTTGCACTTTATCACACCCCATCAGGCCCTCCATGCCATCTATTTTAGATCTCTTATTGTTCCCTTGTCCCTGGGTTTGTATTTTGTCTGAAAAAGCAACTGCTCTCTAGATAAATTAAAATATTATCATAGAGATACTGTTAAACTAGGATGGATTTTTTTTTT